ATGTTATTTTCATGTCACCTAGATTTTTACCTTTTTATAAACCTTAGGCTGTTTAGAACTGTCCAGATTTGGAGGTCTCAAATTCCTCCAGGACCACAAGGAAGGGACGGGTAGCAGCACGCTTAGGGGTCGTAATTAAACTCGCTTATAACCACTAGGGGGGTAGTAATGGGTAGTAAAAGGATATGATGGCCTGTGCGCTAATGTCACGTGTAGCCCCTTTCATTAAGGAGTGATTACCGGGCATGGCATGGGTATGATCTTGTAGGCTAATCAACTTAGGACTTCCTTTTCCCAATTCCCGTATGTGTTTAAATTCTCTAAATTTCCTTTTCTTTACTTATACATGTATAAGCAGTCCAAACCTCTTTTATCTTCACTATTCGAGTTTCCTTGACCATATATGCATTTAGATGGGGAAAGTTACTTTATTTGCAAATACTTGCTTACCTGTTATTTGACTAATTCATATTGTTTATGTTCGACCGGGACCCACCGTTGTGAACCGCGAGGGGTGCCTAACACCTTCCCCTCAAGGTTATTTCGAGCCCTTACCCTAATCTCTGGTAATGCAAACTAGTTACATGAGTTAATTGCTCTAGGTGCCCTAACGTACCATAATCTGTTAGGTGGCGACTCTCCAAATGCTCAATTCCCAAAAGGAAAAGAGTTGTTCCCCCATGAATGTCGAAACCTGGACTTCTCCGCGAAGGAGGAAAAAGGGGGCGCGACATACCCAAGGCGGCTATTCGTCCTATTAGCCTTTTCACGGCTTTCACACTATCCACGATTGTGATATCTTCGATGGCCTTGATCTTATCGGGCTTGATCTCGATTCGCCGATTAGATACCATGAAGCTGAGGAACTTGCCCGAGCCGACTTCGAAGGCACATTTTCCTAGGTTAAGCTTCATGTTGTACTTCCTCAAGATTTTGAATGTTTCCTGGAAATGAGTTAAATGGTCCTCTACGCGCAGGGACTTAACCAACATATCATCAATATTAACTTCCAATGATTCACCTATCTGTTCCTCGAACATTTTGTTAACTAGGCGTTGGTACGTGGCTCCAGCATTTTTTAGCCCGAAGGGCATTACATTGTAACAGTATGTTCCAAACTTAGTGATAAATGAGGTCTTCTCCTGGTCCTCCGGGTTCATTTGAATTTGATTGTACCCGGAGTAGGCATCGAGAAAGGTAAGGATCTCGTGGTCGGCCGTGGAAAAGAGTCTTTAGGGCATGCCTTGTTTAAATCCTTATAATCTACGCACATTCTAAGTTTGTTCCCCTTTCTAGGGACTACAACTACGTTGTCTAACCATTCGGGGCATTTTACCTCCCGAATAGACCCTATTTTAAGAAGTCTAGTTACCTCATACTTTACAAATACATGCTTCACCTAGGGCTGGGGCCTTCTTTTTTGCTTTACCGGTTTGAACCTGGGGTCGAGGCTTAGCCCGCGTTGTTATTTCCGGTGGGATCCCTGTCATGTCTAAATAGGACCAAGCAAAGCAATCCATGTTATCGATAAGAAATTGAATGAGTTTTTTCCTGAGTCCGGGGGTTAATCCCGTTCCCAGGTATACCTTTTTCTCGGGCATGTACTCGATCAGTATGATCTGTTCCAGCTCCTCGACCGTTGACTTGGTTGCATCGGACACTTCGGGAACAACGAAAGTTCGAGGAGTAAGGAGATCCTCTTCTTTTTCTTCGATTACCTGCTTCTCTCGGTCGAGGCTGGGGACGGTGATTGCTATTTGGCCATCTGCTTATCTTTAGTTCTTGACTTTTCTGAGGTCGAAGGGCTGGTACCGGTATCACCTCGTCGACTGCAAACATTTCCTTTCTAGCGTGTTGTTCCCCGTAAATTGTTTTCACACAATCCACTATTGGGAATTTCATCATTTGATGAAGGGTTGAAGGTACTGCCCTCATGTTGTGGATCTATGGCCTCCCGAATAGTGCGTTATATCTCATGTCGCCTTCAATTACAACGGAATTTTGTATCTTGGATGGTCCCAACCACGTTCACTGGTAGGATTATCTCCCCTTCGTTGTTTCACTTACCATGTTGAAGCCGTTTAAGACTCGAGATGCAGGTACAATTTGGTCCTGCAGGCCGAGCTGCTCTACGACCCTTGATCTGATTATGTTTGTTGAACTACCTGGATCCACGAGAACACGCTTAACTTGAATTTTATTTAACAAAATAGAAATTACCAGGGCGTCATTGTGCGGCTGGGAAATGCCTTTCGCTTCCTCGTCATTGAACGATAGGATGCCCTCGGGCATATAACTCCGAGTTCGTTTTTCTCTAGTAATCGACACCTTGGAACGTTTGAATATAGGCCCCTACGGAACATCGGCACCGCCAATGACCATATGAATTACATGTTGCGGTTCTTCCTACTCATTCTTTTTGTTGGCATCTCTTTCCCTGAAGTGGTTCTTAGCTCGATCACCGAGAAATTCTCGAAGATGACCTTCGTTGAACAATCGAGCTACCTCCTCCCTCAGCTGCCTGCAGTCTTCGGTCCTATGGCCATGTGTGCCATGATATTTACACATGCAGTTTGGATTTATTTGAGAAGGATCGGTTTGTATAGGCCCAGGCCACCTTGTGTCTTTAATCCTTCTAATAGCTGATATGATCCCCGATGCATCAACACTAAAATTATACTCTGATAATTGAGGTGCTTCTGCAGGATCGGTGTGTTTATCAAAACCATTCTTATTCATAAGTCCACGAAAGCTTTGACCTCGATCATTTCTTCGATCGTTCTTAGGAGCGTTACGCCCTGAACCGTTGTTTCTCCGATCCGCGACATATGGCTGATACCATTCCCTATTTGGTATGGGTTCCCTGTCCGTATCCCTCGAGGCCTTAACTGCCAATCTATTAGGATGAACTGAACCCGAGAGGGCTCCCAACTGGCATCCTCAACCATGATCTTCGATTGGTAACGATTATGTACATCTGACCAAGTCACAGCCGGATACTCGATCAGATTTTTCTTCAACTGTCGTGACGCGATCGAACTCCGCTCGTTCAAACCCTGTGTAAAAGCTTGCATGGCCCAATCATAGGAGACTAGTGGTAATTCCATCCGTTCCATTTGAAATCGGGATACGAACTCCCTTAACATCTCATCATTTCTCTGTCTTATCTTAAAAACGTCTGATTTCCTTGTCGCAACCTTTATAGCCCTGGCGCGTGCCTTCACGAAGGCGTCCGCTAACATAACAAACGAATTAATAGAATTCGGTGGCAAGTTGTGATACCAAATCATTTCTCCTTTTGACAAAGTCTCCCCAAATTTTTTCAACAAAACCGACTCGATCTCATCCTTCATGTACTTTCTCATAGAAATTTTTGAAAAACCTTGTTTCAGATTCTTAAACTTATTTATGAATTCCGCTTCGACATCATCATTTAGGTCATTTCCTTTAATCCCGCAAGTGTACGAGGTCATGTGCTCATTAGGGTCACTCGTCCCGTTGTATTTAGGTATATCGGGCATACGGAACTTTTTAGGAATAGGCTTCGGAGCCGCACTCGGAGGGAATGGCTTTTGTACAAATTTCTTGGCATCCAAACCTTTCAAGACCGGGGGTGCTCCCGGTATTTGAACGACACGGGAGTTGTACGTCTCCACCTTTTTGTCATTACCTCAATCTTTTTCTCCCCCGACTCGATTATTTTGGTGAGTTCTTAGAGCATCCTCATAATCGTGGGGTCAATCCCCGAGCCATTACCGTCTGATCTTTCTGGCACCGGCTCAGTACGACGAGTGTTCTCTGGTTCGACTATACTTGGAGTTTTGTGCTGACTTTGAAGATGAGCGATGGCAACCTGTTGAGCTTGAAGCATCTCGAATATTACTTGGAGGCTGACTCCCCCATCTTTATACCTTGTGTTCCTTGGCCATTAGATCGGGCTTCCCTGCGTATACTTCCTCCGGGGTCTGCGCCTAAATCCGCACTCAAAGCAATGTGTGAACTGACATCAACTGGTTCCACATTTAGCACTTCCCAAGGGTTAATTGGTGGTACAGCGACCCCTACATTGTTGTTTTCCCCATGGAATCCAAGACCATCATCGCTGTGTACGGGTGCCTTTTGCGAGTTTGACATGTTTTAACCTGAGAAAAAAATTCTTGACAAGAACAAGTGTGAAAATAACGTGTGTTATCAGAATCAGTACTGAAATAACCACTATTATCTTTATCTCCACGGTGGGCGCCAAACTGTTTACCTCGAAAATACGAGTAACAATTAAACTTGTTTATGATTTTAAAGATACATGATTTAGTTCAATACTAATTAATAACCAAGAAATCTGAAGTACAAATAAACGAAGTAAGTTGAATCAAACCAGTGTTTAAGTAAGTCTCGACCTCGAGCTGTGATGGCCTCGAGGCTGGTTAACAAGAACAGTAAAATAAAGACAAAGAAGCTAAGGGACAATGCTGATGAAATATGAGGAAAGTAAGAGAGTATATTCTTTGCTAATGATTGATGATGATTACAAATGATTGGGGTCCCCTTTATATAATATGGGAACCCTAAATAAGGTACATTTCTATTTACAGTAAAGAATCTTCTTGGGACAGTTGTCTAACCGCCTAGTACGGATTCGTACTAACTCGTATGAATCTATTCCGGAATTTACACCATGATCTTGGGAATGTGGTGGGAATCTTGCTTTTCTGTAACAAACCCGTAACGGCATCATCTCGGGGTGGGTCATACTCGGCTTCGGTGCTTCGCCGCGTACTCCGATCTTCGAGCCTTATACTCTGTCATCAGGCTCGGACTTAGTCCATCGGTCTCGAACTCGACCCATCCTGAACTCGGGCTTGAAGCGACACTTCGAGCCCATAAAATCGGGCATACCTGATTTCGACCGTATACACAGTGTACTACCACCGTACTTACCAGTGGTAAACACAAAGTTAAGGTTCATAAGTAGACCAAATTCTTTTTGATCAGCTGAACCATAAATTCCTTGGACTCGACCCACTAAAGTAGAATTGGGCTCTGGCCCAAGTGTTAGTGGGCTGTCTATCATAACAAGAACCCCGAAGAAAGTTGGGGATTCGGCAGTCATATTGGACTGGGCTATTTGATCTGCAGTTGGATTTTTCCCACTAGCTATGTCGTGAAAATAGAAATCAAATTTTGTTACCTTTTACTTTGCATGGGGAAGTTTTTCGAACCATTTTTCAATAGCCTTGGGTCCTAACTCAACCCCTTGGGCTATTGGCATAGCAATAGCTAAGAAACAAAGCAATAAAACTATATTCATCTTTCCCATCTCTTTTTTTAAAGAATGCATTGAAGATACAAGGAATATATATATATATATATATATAGGTGTGTATAGGAGTTGGTAGCCTGAAATATTAAAAGAAAAAAATGATTGGTTCTTTCTTCATTCAGAGTAGAATATAGAAGTTGTTAATTAATTGACTTTTAATTTCTATTTAATGCAGGAAATCATTTAAAATCGGAAAGGAATAAAAGAAAATAAAAGAAGATGCCCACAGCATTTTAAAAGTATAGTCTAGATTTGTATCCCTTGGGTGCTGCCTTGTCCCGGGCCTTGTTGGGATACTTTATCCATCGTGCTACCTTTTTAACCAAAATTTTGCGGTATAGTCAGTTTTCGGACCGATCAATCAAAAATAGCCAGCGTTTACCAAGTTAATGAAAAATAGCCACCGTTTTGCTGCAATAGAGACCGGTCTAGCATAATATATTGGAGTTCGGTGCACTTGTGTATGAACTCCAGCATATTATGCTGGACCGGTATACTTTGCTGGCTCCAGTATAATATACTGGAGACTGGAGCACTGGTGCTCCAAACTCCAGTATATTATACTGGACCATTATACTTGCTGGAACTCCAGTATATTATGCTGGAGTTCTAGTGTATTTATGCTGGAACTCCATCATATTATGCTGGAGTTCCAGCATACTATCCTGGAACTCCAGTATAATATGCTGGAGTTCAAGTATACTTATGCTGGAACTCCAGCATAATATACTGGAGTATTTTCCGGGTTTTGAACAGTGTTTTCGCTCAGATTTATCTTTACATAAAAAGTGGCTAAATTTCGATTACTTTTGAAATTGGGCTATTTTTGAACGACCAATTGTAAATCTGGCTATTTTTAAAAATATCCCACCTTTTTAATCTGAAATTTGTACCGAGAAGTATAAAATTTAGAGATCCTTAGTTTTGGAGTATCTCTAACTGCTTTATAATTAAAAGACTAATTATTTACGAAATAAGCGCAGTAGAGCAGAATAGATGATTCATATTTACCAAGTCAACTTTAATTTTTGAAGATTGAGTTATTAACCTGGGGCTGGTATCTTTTACACCTCCACATGTGGTAGCAAAAAGAAAAAGCCTATACAGCTCAGGTGTGGGTGTTTATAAAGCCTAAAATACGCATTACATTAATCTGCGGGGGCGAATGTAGCCTTTCGGCTACGGGTTCAACTGAACTCATAAATTTCAACACAGAGTATGAATTTATATGTAAAAACCTACTAAAATTTTAACAAATATTAAAACTCATAACTTAACGGTACAATGAGTGCAATGCTAAAAATCTTAAAAGGTAAACCTATTAAATTTAAATCGTGAATCCACCTCGTTCCAGACGGCTATTTTCTCATACTATTTAGGTTTCGATTTAATTTGACCTTGAATCGCTTGCACACATCATTAACATCACTTTAGAAACATGTTGCTTAATTAAGCAAAAAAGGAAACTTTTGTTCCAGACAATGTTATTAAACTCTTTCTAAGTTAGTCGTTTCACGTACGTAGTGCGAGATGATTAGATTGATTGTCAAAATATAAATAGGGTAATTTTAGCTCTGTAGCTTCGTGGAATGGCTAACAGATGATGCAGACATCAACCATATCTTGTGGTATTTATAAATCTTGTTGATCTGGCAGTTCTCACAAATATGATTAATAGACCTTGGATAAAAATAAACCATAATCAGTGTTGCTCCTTTGGACTATTTTGTATTTCATTTTCTACCAACTACACCTTCATCATATTGATCTTGTCGTTGATATGACAGATGTTACCAAAAATATACTACTGGAATATTACTAGCTTTAACATAGTTAATGTTCTATAGGCCACGGGTTCAAGTCGTGAAAGCAGCCACTAATGTTTGCATAAGGGTAGGTTGTTTACATTTCACCCTTTTTGGTGTGGTCCTTCCCCGACCGTACGAGAATGCAAAATGCTTTAGGCATCGGAAAGCCTTTAAATGTGATTGTAGTTGTTAATACAATCCTCGTAATGGTTGAGCTTTTTTCCTTCTCTCTTTTAATCTTCTTTTTATAATGCTCACTCATTGAACATCATTATAGATTCTTCAAAACTTAATTATTCTACCTCAACTCAACTGCCAAGCCATACATTATTACTCCCTCCGGTTTACATTAAGTGTCCAATTTACTTTTTCATTTTGGTTCAAAATAAATGTCCAGTTATGTAATCAAGAAAGAATTCAATTTGTTTTTACAAAATAACCCCAATGTACATATGATGATAGGCTATAATTGCATATTTTAGTCGCTTATTACACTTGAATTTACTGTACTTTAATTGAGTTTGCGCTTTAATCGCTAGTGTTTTGCACTAATTGTGTGTTTTATGCCTTGTAGGGATTCCGAGCTATATATATGTTATGGAATGAATTTAAGTGATTTGAAGCTTTGAAGTCTGAGTAAAAGCTCAAGAAATTAAGCCGGGATCGTGTTCGGAGGTCATATTTGATAATTAAGTACGAACGAAGACTTGAGGAGGCATATTGCGCACTGTCTAGTAAAATAGACATAACTTTTTGCTCAGAACTCCATTTTGGCTCCACAATATATGGTTGGAAAACTAACTCAAAGGACTACAACTTTCATGTTTTACGTTTTTCCAAATTCCAAACGGAACAGGGTGAAAAACCGCGGCAGAACCGCGGCAGAGTGTACTCACGGACAACTGAAGAATCAGAGGGCATGTTTGGCCGCGGTTCCACCGCGACCGCGGCAAAACCGCGGCAGGAAGCGAAAATTTCAGGGACTAAAGTGCAAAACATGGGATTTTAAGTCCTAAACCCTATATTAAACAAAGGAGGCCGGCCAAGAACAAGAGGGGGACATATTTTGGACATAGATTCGACCTAAGGAGTCAAGAACACATTGGGAGCAAGGAGGAGAATTCTTCTACGAGTTTTTCCTTCCTCTTCCTATTTTTCATTGTTGGTTATGACTTTTAGTATTATAGTTTTACGTACTATTATGAATAGCTAATTTGTTATCTAGAGTTTTGATAGAACCTTTTGTAGGATAAATTCTTGTTATGTTTTTATATAATTGAGCCATAGCTTTTCTCTATTTGTTCAACTACGTTTATATTGTGGTTGGTTGAAGAGCTCTCAATTAGTTGTGCCTATTTAGTATGCATAACTTGGGAGAGAGTGCATATTTAGGTAATTGTTGAACAACACCACTCCCAGAGTATATGAGGGATCAATAACCGAGGGTTTAAAGGCGGGATTAGGGATAACGAAGCCTTGGGTGTAATCTAAAGTGAATTGTGTTAAATAAAGCAAGCTAGTGTATCTCGGGAGAGTGCAACTAGCAAATTGTCGTAATTACTCGGGAGAGATTTACGGTAATAAGAGTGCCCATGTTCGGTAGAGAATACTTAGGCGAAATTATAGAAGACATAGCGAGAAGGATTCCGACAATGGGGGAAATCATAACTCTAGACCTCCTTAATCTTTTCTCTAACCCTCAGTATCGTTAGTTGTTAATTTACTATTTTAATTTATTAGTTAATTAGTTAAACACAAAAATCTTAATATCTATAAGTTAGGAGTTGTTCAAGCTCGTCTTCTTGGTGATAGTGAACAGCTGTAGCTAAACCTTAGTTCTCTGTGGGATTCGACTCCGGACTTGTAAACTGGATTATATTTGCAGCGACCGCTTAGTCCTTTTTATAAGGCATAGTTGGGCGTGATCAAATTTTGGCGCCGTTGCCGGGGAACTAACGGTGTAGTTGTAGCTGTATATATTGCTAAGGTTCAAGTTTGAACTTTTAGTTTGTTTTATTTTTTTTTTATTTTTTTTTATTTTTTTATAACTGTTGATTTGAGAAACATGGCATCTTGTAATTATGGGAATTTAAGTGTAGATAATTCTACTATTGATCTCCATACATATTGTCAAGGAAACCACCCGTGGTAAAATTTTCAAAACGTTCGTAAGAGCGAGTTATGTGCACCAACTCAATCTTATTTGTGGAATGTGTGTGATGTGTGTGGTGGTAAAAATGGTCACCTTCATGGTTGTGCTTATATTTTTTATTTTCCCCCAACCCCTTACTATGATGGTTCGACATTTTGTGAAGTTAATAGAAACAAAGAACCTGGGAATGCGGACCTGAAGGAGATCAAGGATATGCTAAAGTGTCTTCTGGAACAAAACAATGAGAAACAATTGCACATAGAAAGGCAAGAGGCAACTATTCGCCAGTTGGAGGCTCAATTGAGTCAAGTGGTTGGAGCTTTTAATGCTCAACAATCTAATATTGATGATAGTAGCCAAGAAGAGCATGAATTTGAGGTATTAATTGGGGAGGTCAAAGCAGAACATCAACAACCTAGCCAACTAGAATTTGAAGATGTCAATGTTGAAGAAGTGAGACTAGAGTCAGCCAAGGACATTGAGGATACAAATTTTGTTGACTCTAGTATCATTGATGTTGAGGATGCTGAAAGTCCTGAAGTTCATATGTGTGAGTGCATTGGTCCTCACTCCAAACATTTTTCTACATTGTGCTTGGATGACGATATGAAAATAGAGTCATCCGAGCCGATTGAGAAGTCAAGGAATGAAGAACAAGGTGCCTATATTCTGGAATTTTTCTTACCAGAAAGACAGGACTACATACCTCATCTAAAAGCCAAGAAGTGTAGAATAGTACAATGGTTGCTTGAACCAATTAGATTTGTTCCTCCACCCCTGGAGCATAGCCGAAAACTTGATGCCAAATTGGGGGTTCAATTCATAAGTTCGAGGTGGAGGCAAAAAGTGATTCGCGTCGTGCTGCGACGTTAAATNAACCTAGGGAAGTTGACCTAAAGAAGCTCGAAGATATGTTAAAGTGCATTTTGGAACAACAGAGTAAATTACTACTGCGGATAGAAAGGCAGGAGGAAACTATTCACAACTTGAAAGTTCACATGAGTCAACTGGTTGAAGTTTTTAATGCTCAACAAGCCAATATTGTGAATAGTATCCAAGAAGAGCGTGAATTAGATACAGAAACTTATGAGCTAGAGGAGGAGGCTAGAGTAGAACACCAACAATCAATCGCACTAGATTTTGAGGATGTCAATGTTGTAGAAGAGATACTAGAGTCAACCAAGGATATTGAGGATACATATTTAGTTGACTCTATTGTCATTAGTGTTGAGAATGTAGACAGTCCCAATGTTCATGTAGTTGAGCGCATTGGTCCTCACTCCAAGCATTTTTCCACATTGTGTTTAGATGATGATATGGAAATAGAGTCGTCCGAGCCATTTGAGGAGTCAAGGAATGAGGAACAAAGTGCTTACATTCTGGAATTCTTCTTGCCAGAAAATCGGGATTACACACCTCATCAAAATGCCAAGAAGTGCTGAATACTACATTATTTTATTGGGCCAGCCAGATTCATTCCACCACCCCAGGAGCATGATCATAGAGCATAATCAAAACTTAGGGTCCGATTCATAAGTTCAAAGTGGAGGCAGAAAGTGATTCACGTCGTGCCGCGACGTTAAATCAAGCGCTCGTTGGGAGGCAACCCAGCTTTATTGCTTTCTTTTATTTTTTTTATATATTTTTTTATTATATTATTTTTGTAGTGTCAATTTTTTTTATTTTCTAGGAGCATGGAAAGCAAAGGTATTGGAAGGATGCACCAACAAATGAAATGGTTAGAACTAAGTGTGAGGTACCCGCACGAAGGACCAAGCTGGGAGAAGTCTGAGTACCCCATGAGCTGCTAGTGCTTCGGCCTTTGGCTACCAGGGAGTTTCTTTTACCCTCTTTTATGTATTGGTGTGCATTGAGGACAATGCACAATTTTAAGTGTGGGGTGAGGAGATTGTCTGGGTGACTTTTCATGCTACTTTAGCTGTGTTCGTTTAATTAAATAATTTTTTTTTAAAGATTGGACTTTTCCTGATAACGGATCTTCTAGACAGTTTTCTTGAGGGAAGTAAGTCTAAAGAAAATACCAAAAAGATTTTTTGTTTTGTTTTAGGTAGTGTAGTAACTCCCCCTTGGTTTTTCTTTGGGTCACGGTTCTTTTCCAAGGGTTTTATTTGAACCGGGTGTAGTTAGTTTTTTTTTTAAGGAATAAGAGCCATTGGGTTGTATTTTGAATTGAAGCAATATCTCTTGACTTTGTTATGGCTTGAGAATAGTGAGTACTTTGGTTGTGACGCTTAGGCTCAGTTTTTGACTCTTGTATAAGTACCTTAAATTGTATGATCTTAAATTTGCTTAACTGCTCTGACTAGGGTGTCTTGATGAATCCAATCCTGAGTGAGTTATGTGCCATGTGTGTGTAAGGTTTTGTGTTATTCTGTGCATTGCATTTGATGCCTAGAACTTGCCCCGTGTATTTGCAAAGCGAAATAGTAGTGTTGTTCAGTCTTGAAAGTGATATAGGCGTTTTCTTGTTGAGCCAGATATGTATATTTTACCCACCTAATTGTTATGTATCGTAGTTAACCTCGTTGAGCCTATAATCCTTTTTCTTTGGCAACCACATTACAAGCCTTACCCATTTGTTTGAATTAACCATCTATTTAAGCCTTTTCACCTCTCATGAGCACTTGAATTATTTATGAACTTTGTAAAAGTTAAAGTGTGGGGTGGTTGGTTTGGCTTTTGAGTGGAACTAATAAAATAAGGAGAAATGTGCACTATTTTAAAAAAGGAAGAGCCACTTGAATTGAAAAAAAAAATATAGTTGGATTGTTGTGAAAAAAAAATTCCTTGATAAGTGGTGGTTCTTGATGTAAGTGTGCTTAAAGAAGAATGGGGTAATTTACATTGATGTGAAGGTGGAATTTTGGTTTGACATAAGTATTGGGTTTAAATGTTAAAATGTATGTATTAAAGTGCTTAGGGAGGTGTAGTCACTCTTATATCTAAATGTATCCTACCCGTCCCGTAGCCTACATTACAACCAAATAAAGTCCTAATTGATCCAAGATTGAATGAGCTCGATTAGTGGAGTAGTACACTACGGGCAAGCTTATGGTGCATCTTTTGTGGCATATGAATGTTATTTCTGAGAGTGAGTGAATTCTTTCTATCTTGAGTTCCTAAGTGTTCTTCAATTTTATTGTGTGGAACTACTCTCTTTTGTTGTGTGAGGGCACTTGATTCATGAAGGAAAGGTAATGTCAGTGACCTCTATGTTAGAGTAAGTAGGCGAGTTGTGAATAATGCGTGGCACTTGTGAGTCAAATCTTGAGGTGAAGATGTTACGCTTTTGTGCTTAGTCTATTTTAAATACTCTTGGTGTGATGAGTTAGGAGAATTGTTTAAAAAGGTCGTGTCTATAAAAAAAAAGTGTAGTTTGATTGCTCGAGGACGAGCTATGGTTTAAGTATGGGGTGTTGATGATAGGCTATAATTGCATATTTTAGTCGCTTATTATACTTGAATTTACTGCACTTTAATTGAATTTGCGCTTTAATCGCTAGTGTTTTGCACTAATTGTGTGTTTTATGCCTTGTAGGTGTGATTCCGAGCTATATATATGTTATGGAATGAATTTAAGTGATTTGAAGCTTTGAAGTCTGAGTAAAAGCTCAAGGAATTAAGCCGGGATCGTGTTCGGAGGTCAAATTTGATAATTAAGTACGAACGAAGACTTGAGGAGGCATATTGCGCACTGTCTAGTAAAATAGACATAACTTTTTGCTCAGAACTACATTTGGGCTCCACAATATATGGTTGGAAAGCTAACTCAAAGGGATACAACTTCCATGTTTTACGTTTTTCTAAATTCCAAACGGAACAGGATGAAAAACCGCGGTTTTGCCGACAATTGGGGAAATCATAACTCTAGACCTCCTTAATCTTTTCTCTAACCCTCAGTATCGTTAGTTGTTAATTTACTATTTTAATTTATTAGTTAATTAGTTAAACACAAGAATCTTAATATCTATAAGTTAGGAGTTGTTCAAGCTCGTCTTCTTGGTGATAGTGAACAACTGTAGCTAAACCTTAGTTCTCTGTGGGATTCGACTCCGGACTTGTAAACCGGATTATATTTGCAGCGACCGCTTAATCCTTTTTATAAGGCATAGTTGGGCGTGATCAACATATCCCTAAAAAGTTTTCTTACTCCTCACATTAAATATTTAATTAGGGATAGTTTAGTCATAGTAGGTATTTTTGTATAGAATTTAGTATTTCCTTAATGGGCGTGCTAAAAGTAAATTGGACACTTATTGTGAATCGAAAGGAGTAAATCATTGAATGGAAGGTGAAGGCATTTAGAACCTCGTTGCTATCGTTGAGCTTATAAAAGAAGAGTGAAAGATGAATTGAATTAAATTCAAACCAAACAAATAAAATAAGGATGATGATAGCCACATGATAGATAAAATAGCAATTATCACTCTCTACCAAAAGCCAATAATTCAAGCAAAGGCGGACCCCCCATTATCACCTAAGCAGCTTTCTAATACCGCAAGTCTATTTCCATCCCTACAAGGCTAACTACCACAAGAAACCATGTCAAGATAGTATGTCGAAACGAATAAAATATCTAAAAGGAAGTTTGTCCCTCTTTGTCGTGATTAATTGAAAGAGCAGCTCGGTGCACAAAGCACCATGTTCACACAAGGTTCGGGGAAGGGCTGCACTCCAAGGGGTGTAATGTAGGCACCATACCCTGATGCAAGCATTAGTGGCTGATTCCACAGCTCGAACCCAAAACCTATAGGTCATACGGAGACAACTTGCGTGTTGCTCCAAGGCTCACTTCCTTATCATAGTTAATTGAAGAAAGTATTTACAGCAGGGAAAAACAAGAAAAGCGTCAAAAATGCATATATTAAAAGGCAGAAAAACAGATCTTTTTCCTGTGCTAAGACAGAGAAGAAGTGGGAGTGCTTCGTTGTTTCTTGAGTTGTTCAGAAAATGGGAGCTGAGGTGAGTAAACAGGTGGAAAGACGAAAATCTATTCATACTCAGAAGAAAATCTTGTATGATCTCAAGGAGAAAAATGGATGCAATTTCCCTGGTTGTGATTATCATGTACAAGACAGAAAAAATTGGATGTCAGCACTTATCCCTGAGAAACTCCACGTCAACAAGATTGTTTGGTCAGGTACCCAAAGGCGGATTCAGAATTTAAATTTAATTAGTTTAACTTTTAGGTTCTTAGTATGAATTTGTTGCACTTGAAAATCTTTATTGAAATTTTGATGATAATATATATATATATATATATACTGCAGAGGCGAATAGAATACTTCATAATGAGTTCAACTGAAACTAGTATTTCCGAGCAATATATATATATATATATATATATATATATATATATATATATATATATATATATATATATATATATTGCTCGGAAATACTAGTTTCAGTTGAACTCATTATGAAGTATTCTATTCGCCTCTGCAGGCACACATGATTCAGCAACTAACAAGATTGGAATCCCATTCATCTCTCGCCCTTTTGCTCAATGCCAATCTTTGTCCATTTATGAGCAACTAGTAATTGGCGCTCGCGTTCTTGACATCCGTGTTCAAGAAGATCGCCGTATATGCCATGGCATCCTTCTTTCCTACAACGTTGACGTCGTTATCAACGACGTCAAGAAGTTTCTGTCCGAAACACATTCGGAGATAATAATCCTAGAAATTCGTACTGAATTCGGCCATGATGATCCCCCGGATTTCGACAAGTACCTAGAGGATGAGCTAGGGGAACTTCTCATCCACCAAGATGACAATGTTTTCAACAGGACAATTGCAGAATTATTGCCAAAGAGAATAATATGTGTTTGGAAACCAAGAAAATCACCTCAGCCAAAACATGGAAGTCCATTATGGAGTTCAGGTTACCTAAAAGATAACTGGATAGATACCGACTTACCTGAAACGAAGTTTGAGAGCAACATGAAGCATTTGAGTGAGCAGCCACCTGTAACATCTCGGAAATTCTTTTACAGGGTGGAGAATACGGTCACGCCACAGGCTGATAATCCGGTCCTGTGTGTGAAACCTGTGACTGATCGGATTCATCCATATGCGAGGCTGTTTGTAATGGAATGTATTTCTCGAGGTTATGGTGATCGGTTGCAGATATTTTCATCAGACTTTATAGATGAAGATTTTGTGGATGCATGCATTGGTCTTACAAATGCAAGGATTGAAGGGAAGTTCTGAATCTGAATGAATGTTTACGTCTAAATAGTATATATACGTATGTATTTCAGAAATTTTAGTTATATGTATATAGTTTGAGTAGCAAGCAGGAGTACACCCCTACTTGCTGAAGATGGATTATTCTCTAGTCTGTATATAGGTCTTGTACGGTCCAACTTGTTTGAGATCGAGACGTAATTGTTATTGTAATTCGTTTTCTGTTGTAAGATTATTTTGAGGAATTGAACATGACATATAAGAAGAAATACACTCTTAGCTTCATTTCCAATATAGAAATTTGCCATGTTCTTTTGTCCCTCTGGTAAAAACAGTTCAGTATCTCAAAAAAGTAGTCTCTTGTTTATAATACATCCACCATTTTCTTGATCAAACAGAAACTTGTATTGTCCAACAAATATTATGAAACTGTAAGGTAAAAAAGGGCAGCCCAGTGCATTAAGAATCTCGTATTGACGCAGGATCCCAAAAAGGACCACACCCTAAGCGGTGTGATGTAAACAGCCTACCCTAATGCAATGGTTGAATAATTGACACATTGGAAGTGAATGACTTTGTTGAACAACCAACCAAAAGCTTCCATTATGGATCCAGGAAAAAGGAAAAAGGAACATTGAATATTAGTACGAGATTTTACCCGATGGTTCTGAAGGGAAGCCTTGACGTAACTGGTAAAGTTGCTGCCACGTAACCATGAGGTCACGGGTTCGAGTCATAGAAGCAACCTTTTGCAGAAATGCAGGATAAGGCTGCATACAATAGACTCTTGTGATTCAGTCCTTCTCCGGACACCGCGTATAGCAGGAGCTTAGTGCACCGAGCTGCCCTTACTTTACCCAATGGTCACATTGAATAAAAAGAGCAGCCCTGATGAATATCTTAGGATTCCTCCTATAGCCGCAAACGAGCCAATTTTGCATCTTGCACGAAAACAGATTGTATCTTGTGCTCATGATCAGGGTCTTTAGAGCAACGTTCGGATACAGCTGCTTCTCTTGTTGGCTCAGGACGATGAACTGCTCATGATCAGAGTCTTTAGAGGAACGTTCGGATACAGCTGCTTCTCTTGTTGGCTCAGGACGACGAACGATACGGGAAGTTGATCATAGAGGAAAGTGGGGTTAGACCATTGTTAAAGTTGGCTAAGGAATGAAGAATGGAGGGTCAAGAAAATGCCTCAAGGGCAATTGGTCTTCTTGGACTGATCCAGAAAGCGTCGAACACATTGTAAATGCTGGTGTTTGTTCAGTATTTGCGAAAACAGTGAGGTACCCCTCAGGTAGTGACTTTGAAGATGATAAGAACGGAACACACAGAGCAAAGTGAAATGTGTATGAGATTAGCCTTGATGTATAGGTAAACCACTAACCTTGTCCAATGGACAGAACATATCGCGTTGTTGTATATGTGCTTTTACAGTTTACTCTCTGGTTTCATCTGTTCTAGACTTGTAGTACTTTTTGTTTCCCTTCATGTTAGCAGGGGAAGAGAGCTGTTAGAAGCTTCATTTTGATGTTCCATGGTTCTTATTTGTCAGCCATCAGGATAATAAATCATTTGATTTGTCAAATGTTATCATATTATTATGAAACAAAAATGCATATATGTTTCCTAGTTTAGGTGATTCTATGAAGCCAATGTGACTATCTTTTCTTCTTTTTTCCTTCTAAGCTGGATCCAGATGAAGACAAAAGATCCATACCTTATAGAACTTGATCTCAATGAGTAAGAGCAGCTCCACAAAGCATTGACAATACAAACTGAAGTATCTCATCAGTCATTACACTAAAATTGGCTTTTAGTAAGTTACAAAACCATGAATAGTGTAGACACCTCTATCCCATCAAACATAAACTCTTAATGCCTCCACGAATTATTGACAACCAATCAAGCCTACATCTAGGCTAGTCAAAGTTAACAATCATGAATCATGTCTAGCGTATATACTTCAGATATGACATAAATTCTTAATATTACTCACTAATTTGCCCAGAACTATTGATAATCAATCAGTCAAACAAAAATCTCGAAATAGTAAGAGTCTAATATATGACCTTCAATTATCAAATTCCCTTTTCAAAGTCCATTCTATACTAAAATAATATAATTTGCCAGTCTAACACTTAACCTTCAAAGCAGGGTTTTCGCAAATTACAACCACCAATCCACAACTCAGGATAAGTAGCGGATACATCAAACTCACCACACGTCCTTCTTCATTACACATAATTATAACAAACCATACTAAAGCATTCATATACTGTTGATCTAGTCAATTTAGACTCATTCAAAGAACAGGTCGATTCCCAGCGTTTTCTCATGAACTTACAAAGAACCAAGATCCCCACAACCTATATTGCCCGGATTCTCCAAAATGTTGCGCACCTTTGTCGGATCCTCCAAAAATGTTTTTGGAGGATCCAACACGCACCCGGCAATATTTTCGGAGAGTCCCAGCAACATAACCCACAACACTATCCAAAGAACCAATCTCTGAAGACATATAGCCAGAACAAAAAACACAAAAGCAACATATGTAAAATGTAAATGGAAGGGCAATAAAAGCTAGCAGCTGATAATTGATCAATCTTCCAAACATGTATGTATATACATGTACAGAAAGTGCACATTTCCAAAAGCTTCAAGCTGAAACACTAGTCCATAACCATTACTACTAATCCTAATAGGCAATAATAAAGCAGGGAACCATAACCATATCCTAATCATTACTTCAAGAAACTAAAAGGTGACCATATGCAATATGATCATTCGAGAAAACATTAAATGGTTCATCCCTTTTAACACTTCAAAATGACATTAACCAAAAAAGAGTACTAGAAAGCATAGAAAAAAGAGCGCAAAATGTGAAAATACACATTTACCCTCTCAGTTCTACAGAGCTTCAACGACCACTGCTGTTGGGGCATTCACGTGCAAAATGCCCTTCTTCACCACACTTGAAACAACCACCACCACCTCCTCCTCCGCCACTACCACCATATCTCCCACCTCCACCACCATATCCACCGCCGCCGCTGCCATATCCCCCGCCACCACTACCATAACCACCGCCGCCGCCACCCTGAGTACATTCCCTCGCAAAATGCCCTTCTTCTCCACACTTATAACACCCGCTTCCACCACCACCGCCGCCGCCATATCCACCACCACCACCATACCTACTACCACCGCCACCTCCGTATCCACCGTCACCTCCATAGCGACCACCGCCGTAACCACCATCACCTCCACCATATCTACCACCTCCACCGCCGCCATATCCGCCACCACCACCACCATATCGACCCCCGCCGCCACCTCCACCACTTCCGCCACGGCCACCACCTTGAACAGACGCACCATCCGGTCCAGTAACATTAACAGCCTTAGTACGGCCATCATCACCAGACTCAACTTCAAACTCAACGACCTCACCTTCAGCTAAGCTACGAAAACCTTCAGATCTGATACCAGATTGATGAACAAACAGATCTTCACCGCCATCATCAGGAGTGATGAAACCGAAACCCTTTTGATCATTGAACCATTTCACGGATCCCTTGATCCTACGTCCCTGATCACTCTCCGACGCCATAGTAGCACAGAAACAAACCCTAGCGAAACCCTAGAGACTTTTTAGAGAGCTTTGATCTCTTGGTATTTTCACCAGTAGTGTGGGCTTTATTATGTTGCGGTGGCTGAGTTATATTGTGATTGAGAGTGCCACGTTTTTTGGGGAGAGAGGTTGTGGGCCCATCGGACCGGATCATTTTATCCGAATCCATTTTGTGTATTAAATTAATGTGTTTTTCATTAAATAAATAATATTCCTTTCATTTTTCCCTATAATTTGTGTTATACGGTAGTGTTTGTGTTTGACTTGTTAAGAGTTAAGACCACAATAGCAAGACTTATCTTACCCTTACCATCTCCATTGGGAACATCCTGTATGCAAACCGCTCAGACGCCAGATGTGAGAGCCCATGAGTCCCCACTAAGTCTCACTACTATGGATGTAGACATGACCCAGAACACTCCCATTATTGAAGGAAGGGAAAATAACTCAACACTAGAACCTTCCCATCACAAGCACCCTAGAAATTACGAGTATACTAAAGATTGTTCCTTCTTGAACAAACTAACCAACAACTCCCTAAGTCAGCAAGATTTGTTCAAAGTAACATAGATGAGGTCGAAAACCCTTTCGCCTCAAATGAGGTGGATAATATCCTTAACTCGGATGGCTTCATCCCTATCACCGGAGCGAATGTACAAAAACTGGTCAAATGCCCTTATCATAAAAAAATTCGGAAGAAGAGTGGGATACCTAATCCTACAACAAAAACTTCATGCTATATGGAAACCTTCGGAACAAATCTCACTAATAGACCTTGGAAATGACTATTAACTAGTAAAATTTAATAAAAGAGAAAACTACGACAAAGCCTTGCATGAGGGGCCTTGGTTCATAGGCAACCAATACCTAACAGTAAGGAAATGGGAGCCCACTCAGAAGCTTACCTAACGTACTCGGCGATCTGGGCCAGTATCCCAGAACTCCCTACGGAGTTTTATGATACTACAAGAAAAGAGAGCAACAACGACATTTAATCAGCGACGTATAAAATAAATGTCGGAAAATAACTAATTTTATGACAGATACTACTCATAATTCTCAATCTTCTGATCGAGGTTATTAAGGTGTGGGTAAGTATTTTTTTTCTCCTGTGATTTTCATTTTATTATGTTAACTGGATTGAATTTCCTGCCTTTAAAATGGTTGTAAGCTTTTCTTTTATTGTTATGTATTGAAGTTTGTTGTGATTGTTGTTGATTGGTTTGGGAAGTGGTATGTAGGATTTATTTATGAATTTAACAGTTCTCTGCTTATGTTATAGGTAGTGGAGTATTGAAATTGACCAATTTGGGATAAAATATTAGTATTTGCTTTGTCTTTTTATTTTTATTTTACTTTGTATTTGCAGTTTCTATTACATTTCAGTGGTTGGTTATTCTTCTAGTGAACTTTGTCTTATACTTATCTATAATATGATTCTTTTACTGTTCTGTTCTGTCTACCAGAGAGGAGAAAGCCTTGGAACTGTGGCACCAGATAACCATAAGCTCATTATTCATGAAGGACTTACAATGTTGGATTCTTCAAGGAGATGACATTCTGCTTTTCAGTAAGAATATGGATATTAGTACTATTTATAAGTCTATGAGAAATATGACTTGTAGTATGATCATTAACGAAATATGGCCTGTGAATTCGAGTTGATTGTGATTCTAAACCTTGCAGGCCAGTCAACAGGATCATCTCCTTCAACTGGGATAAATAAGTATGTAGTTTGTATTACTTACTACTAAATCAACACACTAGCATGACTATTACTTTGGGAAATTGAAGCGACGGCTGTTTTTTTCGAGGAAATCCACTTATTTGTTCATCTTTTACCATTGAATTTAATGTCAATTTTAGGTGAAGTAAATATTCTTTGTGTGAGAAAATTATTAAGACCAACGGGTTGGGTATAAGGGTGGCAAACGAGCGGGTCGGGTCGGGTCGAATATAAGTGGGTCGAAAATGGGTAATGCATAAATGAATAAATTATCTGACCGATCCATATTTAATACGGATAAAAAATAAGTTAATCAGCAAATAATATAAAATATTCATATTATCCACGATTTTTTGAATATGATCACTTTTGAAAGAATTCCTACTCTTCCAAACTTAGGGAACACTCAATTTGAGACGTTAGAAATATAAAAGTTTAAACTATTAGTTATTCATTAGTTAACCATTTTTAAATGGATAATATAATTATTATTGTTATAAAATAACGACTGGAAGATCAATGTAGAACCTGAGTGTGTGATGTGTAAACAAGAAAAGGAAACAAGAGATCACCTATTCTGGCAGTGTGATTATGCAACTCAAGTGTGGAACAAAATGTGCAGATGGCTTGGAAGGCAGAAATTGGGAAATGGCTACTGGCAACAGTTTCTTCAATGGACCATAAGGCAAGCAAAAGGAAAATCCACTTATGCAATGATATTCAGAATGATGTATGCAGAAGCTGTGTACCATATATGGCTTGAAAGAAACATAAGAGTATTTGAGAAGAAGAACAGAAATGAGGAGCAAATTGCAAAAGATATAGCATATGTAGTTAGTGCTAGAGTTACTCCCAGGAACAAACAATATGTGTACAGTTTATGTTTCTAGGAAGATTAGTATAGGAAGTAAGCAAAAGATCAGCAAGCTGTGTTAGCTTTGCTTTATTTTGTAAATACTTTTGGTGATTAATATAAAGAATTTAGTTACCAAAAAAAAAAATAACGACTATAAAGTAAATTAACCGAAGATAAGTATAGAGAAAGAGATTCATATATTATTCAACTTCAAACTGATGTACATAATAAACTGAAATCTCCTCTATTTACAGAAGAAAGGAAGCTATTGTGTAAGCTACTACTGCAAGCTGTTATGTAAGCTGCTTGAAAACTGTTATTGTACCAGATATAGATAATCTTCTATCTGGGGTTAATATTTATCCATAACGGAGTACCGAAATGATAAGCTTCTTCGGGAGACTTATTTCCAACAGAGTATCAAATAGATACGACGGAGCCCTATATAAAGCTTATTCACAACGGAGTACTACTTGAATATCTATAATTTAATATATATTTATAATAATTATCCATTTTTGATCCACTTTCAAAAAATTTATTATCCAATTTATATTTTAATAAATAATAAAAATAAATAACTATTTTACCGTTAGTGGGTAGTATGAAGTCCAATAATGGAATGGTCAAAGCGATGGGACAATAGAGCACGTATTGCTATGCACTGCCCTATCCCGCTGTTCCTGTCCTTCCTAACAGATCACCTCCTCAAATGTTTTGTTTTTGTATTCCTATAGTTTCTTTGTTTGTTTCCCGTGCAAAATTTATTGGTCAAATTTCTACCCAAGCCAAAAGTATTTTTTTTGTAAAAATACCTTTTTTTTTAACCTGAGGTGTTTGGCCAAGTTTTGGAAACAGAAGTAATTTTGAAAAAGCAAAAAAATAGCTTCTCCCCAAAAGCAGAAGCAGAATCAATTTTGATTTTTCTTCCTACCAAAAACATCCTTTGCAAAATATTACATATAACCAAAATAACCTTACTTAGTTTAAACTATTATGTAATATAAAATAAATTTTGGGATAAACTTTCATATTTATTGAATAATTTTTTGATATATTTAAATTATCTTGAAAAAATAAAGTACTTTTCAATTTTTTTTCTTCATATTTTACTTAAATAAAATAAAAAACTTAATTATTATCTTTGATATTAAATATTTATAATTATTTATCTACTTATATATATTAACTATTAAGCAAATCTTTTCATGTTCTTATTTGTAATTTGACACTTAAAAATACATTTTTGAAAAGCTTGGCCAAATACAAATTATTATTCAAAAGTGTTTCAAATTGATTAGCCAACGCAAGCTGCTTTTCTCCAAAAATATTTTTTTGAAAAGCACTTTTGAAAAAAATATTTCTAAAATAAGCTAATTTTTCAAGTTTGACGAAACATGCTATAAAATAAGTGAAAATGAACTCGTATATTGGTTTTAGTGAATGAATAAAACTTAGTTTATCACCTTTTTCACATATCGTGAGAAAATGGTAGGGTAGCAAACTTTTCTTTGGTCGAAGTGCCTTCGAGACAAGGAGGTGACGATCAACTCTCTAACATTTGAGAACAGAGAGGAGGTCAAGATTTGAAACTTATTGATAAGGAATTTTTATCCTTTTAAGTTATTAAATTTTAAATTAATAATTTATATATAATTATTAGGATTACATTGAATTTTTTGTTATTGTTATTGTTGTTGTATGTATAATTAATGAAATTGTTTGATCAAACTTATTGGGTTCAACCGAACCCATAAACCGCATGTTAGCTCCGCCCTATTTGAGGTAAAAATATCACGGTCTAGCCAGTTTTCGGACTGGTCATTTAAAAATAGTGAGAATTTACCAAGTCAATAAAAAATAGCCACTATTTTGTTGCAACATAGACCGGTCCATCATAATATACTGGAGTTCGGTGCACCTGTATATGAACTTCCAACATATTATGCTGGAACTCCAACACACGGAAAGTTCTAGCATAATATACTGGAGATTCGAGCACTTGTGTATGAACTTCCAGCATATTATACTGGACCGGTATACTTTGCTGGAACTCCAGTATATTATGCTGGAGTTCTAGTGTACTTATGCTGGAACTCCATCATATTATGCTGGAGTTCCAGCATACTTATCTTGGAACTCCAGTATAATATGCTGGAGTTCAAGTATACTTATGCTGGAACTCCAGCATAATATACTGGCGTATTTTCTGGGTTTTGAACAGTATTTTTGCTCAGATTTATCTTTACATGAAAAATGGCTAAATTTCGATTACTTTTGAAACTGAGTTATTTTTGAACGACCACTTGTAAATCTGGCTATTTTTGAATTTCTCCCCTATTTGAGATTCATATTAGTCAAAGCTTAAGAATCTTATCTTTAAACGTAAATTTTAAGATGCAGATGATTTACAAAAATTTAATATATTACAATTATTAGTAATAAAAAAAATAAGAGAACGAAATTACAATTTTTGTTGCATACTCCATTTCAAATTCCAACCAAT